GTTTCCATGACACTAAGTGACCTTCTAAATACACATTGACACGTTGTGGCTTTATAGCGCTTTAGTTACATGCTGAAGTTAGCAACAGGTTTTTAGTCACGGGCTAAAGTTAGTTTTAAGTTAATTGACAGTTGTCAAATTTCATACAATCGTTAAAATATAGTGCCTTTCTTGTAAAATAATACTAAATAAATAAAACCCTATAAACTTGGAAATAGAACCCTCTAACCTATAAACTTATAAAATAAAACCATGGTTAACCATGGTACAAGTGAAAAAGCAGCCACTAATAACTATTAAATTAGTCATTTTTGACTAATTCATTTTTAGAGAGTAAAACTTATAAGTACTAATTGTATGTTCTTCTTCACAGTGCATTCAAAATCTTTTCTATTAAATCTTCGAACACTTTTGATTTCATTACGCCCGAGGGTCTTTGCGGCAAAATTGATCCTCTCTCTCATTGTTTTTCTTCGATAATACACTTCAGTTGCTCTGTAATGTAATGCGTCGATGTACTTGTTCATTTTGTAATAAAATCACTTTTACTTTTTTCATACGATTAGGTTTTAGATTCAAGAGTTTTTGTTCATTCTATTATAGTGATGTGTTATCTTATCTAAAGAATATCGGTTTAATTTTTAGATTTTAAATTTAGATATTTTATTAAAAAAGTGTTTTAGGTTTTAAAAAATTAACAGTTAAATCATTTCCAAATAGACAAAGTATTTTGATAATTTAATCCAGATTTATTTGTTTTTTTTTTGTTTCCCTGCTTCTTAAAAGCATTGTATCCTGAAAAAAAAATGATATTAATCCTGTAAGAATGACTTTATATACAAAAGCATTTGACATAACACTTACTTTAATAAATTTTGCTATAGTGCTGGAAAGCATAACAAATCTTTTATTTATTTTTTGTTTCGCTCTGCCTTAAAAATATTAAGAATTCAATTCTTGTTCCCTTTTCTAACACGATTGCTAGATAAATGCATTAAAATATGTACGAAACGCAGTGAAATTTTTCTTAAGGTGCCGCAAAAAATACTACAACAACACGTCAACGACAACGTCGTTTGAATACCAAATTGCCTATTTCAGTCATAGGTCAAAGAAATGTGTTCTAAGCATAACAATTTAAACAACTTTAGTTATTTTGCAATGGTAAATGCTCACCTTGAAAAGTTTGCATTTTTTCGTTTAAATTGAAAAAGTTTTAAGCTGTTTTGTCGTCAAAACATGTTTTATAAGTAATAATTCAATTTTTAAAGAAAGTATTTTATTAAAATCTAAAAAAATGTATTATTTTACTTTTAATGTGTTAAAAATAATTCAAATTAAATTAAGGACTTTTAATTTATAAAGATTTGTATCTAGGTAGATACATTTAAATAATGTTTTTTTTTCAGTTTTATTTAAACCGGAATGTCCAGAAACTTTCTTTTAAATTCCAATGATAAAAAATATATACCTACGTGTGAGTTAATTTTAATAAAATAATCATTTAAATACTTGGACACATGTACCTAGGTATTTAAAATAGCCCATCCTAGTTCATTAATTTATTACATATTTAAGCATTAAACCCATTATATTTTTTTGATTTTTTGCTTGTAAAAGAACATTTATATTTTATTTTTTTGCGTTTTAAGATTTAAGTATCCCAAGTCGATTCCCATACATTCAAGAATGGGATGAAATATGCTATGACCTCCACATGGTGTGATAAGACGTGAATATTGTTTATTATTTTTTAATATTTTGTTTATTTGTTTGTTTTGGTTAATTAACCTTAAGAAATTAATAAATCAATAAAAATAATTAATACAAAATTAAACCTGCAAACAAATATTTAAGTTGAGCATTTAAATATTTGGGTAAAAATGTACAATATATTGTATAATAATTAGTATTATAATTAAATAATAGATACAAAATATAGCGTTAACTGTTTTACATACTCCATATGGTTGAAAATGTTTTATTTACATTTTTATTTAAAATAATTATATATTACAGTATTTCAAATAAATAAAACTGTTAAAATAGTGCTAGTAACATACTAATACTAGTGCCATCTAGGAATGATCTATGCAAGCTTTCTATCAAAAGTTGTTCAGGAATTATTTGCTTTTAAAGTATATATGTTTTATAATTTATATTTGTTATACAGGTGTCCGAAAATATCGTTTATACGAGGTGTGTTCAGAAAATATCGGGAATTTTCGTGTTTTGAAACAAATATTTATTTATTCGTCTACATTAATGTTGTCGCCTTCAAAATAGTCCCCATTGGATATTATGCACATGTGCCAGCTCTTCTTCCAATACTCGAAACACTTATAAAACTCGATCTTTGGGATAGTTTTAGTTCTTTCAGCGATGCGCTTTTAATGTCATCTATGCTTGCAAAACGACGGCCCTCTAAGGTTCTCTTTATTTTTGGGAATAGGAAAAAGTCAGACAGAGGCATGTCTGGCGAATATGGATGCTGGGGCATCATTACAGTATTGTTTTTGGCCAATAATTTTGTTCAAAATTTAACAATTTTAGAACAAATTTTGCTGCCACGCATTTCAAACCCAAAACATTCGAACAAATTTCATGGGATGAGCCAATCGATATACCAACATCATCAGCGACTTCTCTGATGGTTTATAACCATTTATTCCACTTTTTCATGTTTTTATCGGTTGTTAATGTGCTTGTGCGTTCGGGGCGTTCGTCATCTTCAACGTCTTCACGGCCATCTTGGAAACTCTTATACCACTTGTAAACTCTTGTTTTACTTATAGCAGACTCACTATAGGACTTTGTTAACATTTCACAGAATTTATTTTATTTTTTTTAATCAAAATTGGATACAAATTCCTTGATCCATTTCTTTTAACGAACGAAAAATCGCCGAGCTCATAAAACACGTCTAACCTTAGCGGCTGCCACAGACAAAGTAAACAATGAAAACAGCTAAAGTTTTTATCATACTTCGGGGGCATGTATACCAACATAATAACACACCTCGTATGTTTCAGGAGGTGATTCTACAAGTAAACTAAAAGAAACAGTAACTGTTCCTATAAACATGTCCGAAAACGCCTTTGCTAAATCAGGTTTTAGGTTTTTTAGTGTTAAAATAATGAAACTTTATTCTTGAGGTATTTTTTGGGCAATTAATCATCTGGTGGTGTCAATTTGGATAAATGATGACCATAGGCTACTACACTAAAAAAATAATATGTCCAAGAGCTATTTTAATATAAATCAGAAACTACCTTCACATAATTTTTTTTAAATTACTTGAGGGGAAAGATTTATGTATTCGTTTAAGGATATTACAATATTAGCTTAAATCAAAAGCTAGCGATTTCTTGCTTTTGAATGAAGAAACCGTTTTTTAGCGCAAAAGTATGGGATTTTAACAACATCTCTTAATTGAAAAGCTTAGGAACTTTCTAAGAACAAAAAATTGTCTTGCTACAATATGTTGTAGTATATTGACCTAACCACATTTTATTTTAATTTTAGAGCAAATATCTCTTGGTCCAATAGTACGTATTGCTTTATTCAAAAGCTTCTGATCTTCACTGAAACTACCAGCGTTGTTAGTATTTAAGCCTAAATTTCCCTCACCACATAGGCCTTTTGATTTAAATTATTAAACATGCATTTAACAATTAAAATCAAGGACCTTCGCAGTGAAGGGTGTTCAAGCTGAATATTGGCATCCTTGAAAACTAGAAGATTGACTGAAAAATAGGTTTACAAAAAAAATATTTAAATAAAATAAGACATTTATTGTTTGATATCAACAAAAGTGCAAGTTTTTTTATATTAACACTAATAAAGTAACATACATATGATTTAACATAAAATTTTAATTAAATATTTTAATTAATACCTTACTTTCAAAAACATTAAACAAATTAATTAAATTTCATTTATTTAAAAATGTTTTAATGATTCCAAATCCACTGTGAAAGTACATACAACACGCCACAACACAACACAACCGGCAAAATGTTTATTAGAAATACCTATAATAGAGTAATAATATTATATCACTGCCCCTGGGAAATGGCGAATTGCAAGTTGCAATGATACAAAACGTACTAAACACATGTGCCGCAAACGGTGTGCGCGTTTTGCATCCCCTCCCATGTATCAGAAGCTACCAGATTTTGTTGTAAAATTGACATGCTATTGGGATAATTGTGACGTATCTTAAATGAATTGCGTATAAATATAAATAATTTTTATAGCTTTTGAACAAAAACACTTTGCACTTGGTTGAAAGAAGAAACATTCAAGAGATTTTGTATTTGTTTTTAAGAGAACTATACTCCCTTCACTAAGAACTTTTTTCTTTAAGCAATAAATACTCTTTAGTTTAAGGAGAAAAACTTATTTTTGTGGTTGTTTATTGAATTCTCGATCTTGGATTTCTCCAGATAATTTTGCGTAAAAAACTCCTCTTGTTATAATCATGAAGCACACCGTTTTTGAGAAAAACGCTATTAAAAATGCCTCGTCACAAAAATTCATAAGTTCCAGTAAGTAAACTTCAAAAATAACGCAATGTATTGCCAATTTCATTTATCAAATTTGACACCACCATACCAAAAAATACCCCAGAAATAAAGCATTGTTATGTTTTGTTTTATAAAATATTCAATATCTCGAAGCAAACGCTGTAGGTATGCAACCGTCTGTGTCCCTCTCCAAGAAATCGACGACGACCATCAGCGCCATCTTCAATCTAATGCACGAGTGGCTCCAAAACTGGGTCTCTGGGTCTTCAAGCCGACTTATAAGAAGGCCTGAATGAGCCATGGATGGCAGAAGTAATCGGCAAGCCCAACAGACAACACCGTGCTGTGTATAGGAAATCAGTCAACAGGATATGCTTTTTATTATTTTTTTTTTACTAAAAGACCAAAACTGGGCCCATATGCTTTCTCCGTTTTTTTCTTAATTAAATGCCTTGTATGGTTGATTGTAAGATGATTTCTTCGGTGACCCAGTGCACTGGTTCAGTTTCAAGGAAACACTTTCTTTTCCCACAACACAACAACAAAACCTTCATCTTGAACCCCACCACACGTAAACAGCAGGTTGTTGGCCTGCTCCCCCTCTCTTCACTCGAGGCGATGTTTCTCGTAGAACCAGTCTCTCCGGGAGAAGTGGGTCAGTGTTTTTATAGGCGATGATCGTTGAACTTGAAGAAAAGGCATCCTTGACGCGGTGAAAGAGATGAAGAAATTGGTCATACTCGCGTGGAATTCAGGTCGACGATATTAAAAAAGACGGATCTTCTTCATCGGCTGCAAACAAAATTAAACACGGGCTGCGCGGCGATGTCGAAGCACCAGTTACATATATTAAGCGGTCCGATCCACAAAAACGATTTCGGCTTGTAATTTGTCAGCTTTTAGAAAGTACTTATAATTAATGAAATATTTTACGACAATCGGTAACGCCTAAGTAAAAGTAAGCCGCAGAATGTTGTCCGTCCTCCTCGCTAACTTTAAACTACTTTTATTTGGACCAAAACCACTCAAAAATATAACAAATTCTTACATCCATAACAGATCTTTAAAGATCTTTAGAAGATCTTTCATCTTCATGTCGTAATCTTGTAAGGATTTATTCCATATATTTATATTGAATGTTTCCAATATCTAGGGGTAGAGTTAGAACATAATGGAGGACAAGAATCAGAAATAAATAAAAGAATAGGAAAAGCAATAAACTTATACTACGCTATAAATAACAAATTTATAAAGAAGAAAGAAATAACAAAGAAAACCAAGCTAAATGTTTTTAAAACAGTATTTAGACCGATATTAACGTTTGGCTGCGAATCATGGGTACTAAATAAAGCACAAGAATCCAAAATAGGTGCAATAGAAATGAAGTTTCTTAGAGATATTAAAAGAGTCACAAGAATGGACAGAATCAGAAATACAGTCATAAGAGAAGAACTTGAAATTGAAACCACTATAGAATATATAAAAAAGAGACAACTTAGCTGGTGGGGACATCTACAGCGATTAAACAACAAAAGACAAGTAAAAAAAGTATGAGAGGCAAAAATCATCCAAAAAAGAAGGGAAGACCTAGGAAAAGCTGGAATAAGGTAATATCAGACACACTGGAAAAGAGAGTAATGACATGGACAACCGCAAAAACACTAACTAAGAACAGAAAAGAATGGAGAAAATTCGTGTATAGCTAGTATAACTAGCAAACCCTACACCACCAATATATATATATAGAAGATCTTTAAAATCCGTCAATCATGAACAGTATAACTATGTTATAACAGAAGAACAAAATTTACAACATACTTGAAAAAGGTCAACTTTGGTGATATGTTAAACAAATATTAAAAATATTCCCCAACACCAAAACAAAACATAAAGTGCTTGCTTTTCGCCAATGATGTTGGAATCTTCAGCACTTTGAGTTTTGTTTTGGTGTTTGGTAATTTTTCTAATATTTGTTTAAAATGTACAACCATAAGTTCTTTTATTCTTCCTAATATATACTTTACTAAAATCCTTATGCAATTAAAATTAAACAACCCCTCTCACATGCATAAACTAAAAATTTATTAATTAAATTATTTGGTATAACATTAAATAAATATCTATAAATAAAATAACAACAGGTGGTAATAACAATGACTTGACACTTAAAAAACTAATTCACTGCAACAAGAAGTCCTATCTCCTTTATCTCACCTATCTCCTCTTGTACCCCTCCCACGCGTTGTAGGCTAGATCAGCAGCCGCCTCCCTTTTCTTCCTGTACTCGTGATGGCCGTGAGCGGAGGCGTGAATCACGTGGTGCCCGCCTTCATCCCCTTCGTGATGCACGAGTTTCTTGAGACCGACAACGGTGGCCAGCAGAAGGGCCAGAGCCGACACCATCAGAGCTTTCATCGCGAGGAGACCAACTCCGCCGATACCGAGGGCCGCCATAAACTTTGCCCCCATCATTCCGACGAAGGCTATGCCGTTACCGCCTCCACCGCCACCGCCGCCACCTCCCTTGCCACGACCGGTACCATCTAAGTAAAAAAAAGATTTTTGTTTTGTTAATTTAGTTAAAAATGTGTTTACTTAATTTAAGTAAGAAAAATGCAAAGTTTTAGTTTGTATACTAAAAAAATAAATATTCAGTGGTTTGGTATATACAACTACAAATACAGTGGCGACACTTCTGGAACTACAAACTAAAATATTTAAAAGAAGATGTCAGCACCTGTTCGTTTAGAAACGTCTTGTTTAACTGTTAGTAGTTTGACTTGATATACTTTCTAAATGTTTAAATATTTAAACATTAGTTTATTTATTAAGAAGCTATTATTAAAATAAATAATATACTATATTGAATATTGCCGCCAAAAGAAAATTTAAAAGCTTTGCAAATAAAATTGACGCCAAACATAATAAAATTTTCCAGTATACCTCAAATACGAAATTAGCAACGTTTAAAGGGTTTTTTCTATTCTATTTTCTTTCATTGTATTATTTCATCAATCAGGTAATGGATTTTTTAGATCAGTGTTGTAAAATACCATATCGTAGGCAATAACAATTTTTTATAAATAATATTGACAAAGTCTAAACAAAGCTTTATTTTTGTATAAAAAAATTAAGTGTTTTAAAAAATTAAAAAATAAAGAAAAATTTAAAATTAAAAAATAAAGAAAAATATGACATACTCTCTTAAAATGAAATAGTCAAAATTCTACTATTTGAATTAGTACCAGAATTTTTTACTAATAAAATAGTCGTTTTCACTTTTAAGTAGTTATTTTTTACTACGTAAATAGTTAAAGTTTGATTAATTTAAGATTAGTCACCATCTTTGACTATTTCTGAGAGTTAAAAGTAACTAATTTCTTTAATCGTTTGCGGCCGTCAACAAAGTATTATTTAAATTAAATGCATATAGGCTCCATGGTTAAATGGCCCATAAAAGCAAACAATGATGCAAAAAAATTAGCTCAAAACAGCAACACAAATAATATATTCAACTTTAAAATATTATGAACAATATTTATTGACAAATAATAGTTATTTATGTCATTAAGAAGTAAGGCTTTTAGTGCTAAGCTCAAGGTTTGAAGGCCGAAGCGTAGCGGAGGCCTACAATTGAGCGAAGCACAAAAACGCACTTCTTGACCGAATGGCATACAACATTTTATCTTTAAAGCACTTTATATAGGTCAATTTAATTCAACATCAAAGCAGCATAACCTCACTTTTTTAGAATCTCATTTATTTATTAGCTAAAGATTACATTAAATGTACAATTATTATTGCTTTTAGAAGCAGTAATAGTTTGACAATACCTAGCTACATGATTTAAGTAGAAATGGATTTTTGCTATTACATTAAATCAATTAATTGTTTAATAAATAGGTAGGTATCTAATTTCAATTTGTTTGGATTTTTATTTAAAAAATAGGTAGTTTGGAATGTTTAAGCTGTGTTTAACATTTAATTTCACTGAAAACTTAAAGCAAATTAAAACTTAAAGATAATTTAAATCGTAGAAAAAGAATCGTGCGTTTTTTTGGTTGCCTAACCTCACTTTTTGTTTTATTATTCATATTTAATTTTACAATAGTTTAATAAAAAATATTAAACGTTAACAGTAAAACAAACAAATTAGTGCTTATTATAAATAAATTAAACCAGTTTAGTACGTTAATTTCTTAGAAAAGGATTGATTTGTCAAAACAATACCCCTAGCGAGAAAAAATTACTTGCCTCATAACAATTTTTATCGGCCTAGGCCATAACAAGGTATTTCTTTATCGAATGTTGACAACAATAAAGTTTAAATTATAGACCGCGTGGAGATAAAATTTATTTTTATAAGAGTGATTGATAGCCACATTAGTTATGACAGCAGCTTAACAAGTGACAGACCTGAGTTCAATCCCCGGCTGGGTCAAAAGTTTTTTAAATTTAAATCTACCAATTTGACTATTTCATTCAGTAGAATTCGACTAATTATTAGTGATTAACAATTAGTCAAATATGACTAATTTATTTTGAGAGAGTAATGGAGTAAACATACAAATATCGATAAATAGATATTGGCCAAAAATGTGTACAGCAGAATCCCCTAAATATTTAAAATGTATTAAAAAGGGATGTTGCTCAGTGTTTATTTCGGTTTTTACTGAAAATGCTGCTTTATAAAAATGAATTAGTCGAAAATGACTTGTTTTCAAAATTGAAAGTTATAAAAGTAGAACAGTTTTTGAGATATAGTCCATTTTTCATACAATAAGAAATTGACAATATCTTAAAAATTGCTTTACTTTTATAATTTTTGACGGTTACTATTTTACCAATATTATTTTAAAAATTAAAAATTACTTTTGTTAATAGTAATAAAGATTTAAAGTATACATTTTTAAAACACAACTGTCGGAGTTAAAAAAAAACTATTAGGAATGTCGATCTAAATCGTTAGTTTTTGAGATATAGTCATTTTTATGAATTTTGTAAAACTTGACACCTTAGATCAGTTTTTTGAGTGCCACAGCTACAAAATCTACTATTAATTTAATTTTAAATTGTAATTAATGGCAGTCCTATTCAGGGTTACGCAAAATAAAATATAATCTAAGAATATAGAATGTTGTAGTTGTGGCACTCGAAAAACTGATTTTATGTGTCAAGTTTCACAATATTCATAAAAATGCCAATATCTTAAAAACTAATGATTTTCTACTAAGGTCATGTTTTGATATTCTGATTAGTCATGAGCTGACCTATTAGTCCTTCAAAGGATATCGTTGACTTTTGGGACACCCTGTATATGAGGCAGCTGCAACTTTTAATTGGCATAATTATTTTAAAAATGTCAACCTAACCTTGTAACGCCGGAACGCTGTAAGTTTGATACCGCAACGTAATCAGCCCTGCATTTTCCACCGTTGTCGAGGTATTAAACCTACAACCATGGAGTCAAAATTTTATGTATATAAAAGGGCGCTGGTGTTCCATTTATTGTTTGGTTTGTTCCAAAACAGTAGACGTCAGTACGCCTTGACAATCAGCGCTGCTAAAACCTAATTTGTGCTTACAGCGTTCGAACTCTACATCTATCATCCTTACTTAAAATATTTCTATAAAAACCGTTTCTGGATTTGTATATTATAATATTACATTTTATCGTAGACCACTTTTCTTACCAATAACTCAAAAACAACTTAAAAAAATATTATTCCATTAGACGAGAAGTTAGATTACTTTCACATATAAAATGCGCGATATTACTAGTAACCCACAAAATCTGATTTCTCAGAGAAATCTGTGCCTTATTTACTCTATTGTTTATTATATTATAATACAATATATCACTTTCACTATCTCATTACTATAACAACTTACTTTCATTCGCCTTATCAACTTTATCCATAGCTATTTTGAAAGACCGTCCCAACTCTTCGCCGGGCATCAACTCTGGAAGTTTAATCCTCAACTCGTGGCTTCTAAGGTAATTCTCGAGGGCACTAAATATGGTACCATCATCACTTAAAGCTCTAGCTTCCCCGTCGGCACTTTTACTATTAACTAGATGCACACCCTCGCCAATCAAAATGTCGTCGGGTTGAGACTTGATGTACTGCCTGACGATTTTCCCGAAAATTTTGAACCCGTTGGAGTATTCCGAGGAGACGTGGGGTGCCGCAAGGGCCAGCACGCACAGGGCGACAGCGAGCTGATGGTTCGACAACATAGCTTTTGCGCTGAATTAACATGGAATGCTCACAAACGGGTGGAAATCTTGTCTTATATCTAATTGAGGCGAGAGGAAAAAATCCAGCGGACTTTTCATTACCATTTAGTGGAGCATAAAAGTGCGAAATATTGCAAATAAATAATTAGATCAGCCACTAGTGAGATGATCTGACCTGGTTGGCTGAAAATACACCATCCGGTGACGTACACTGAGATCTAAGAAATGCTGAGATAAGTTTTTTCAGGGTTATTTTCTTTTTTAAAACAATTTAATAAATCTTTTATAACAAATTATATACATTTTAAAAAATCAAATTTTTTAGGAGATTTTGAATGGTAGCATTGACTTCTTTCCATATTTTTTTTCATACTGGATGTCCCACCATAGAGAAAAAGGAAACGTGCCGAAAATTATGCGAAACACATACTTAAAAATTAAAATTATCCAACGCGAAGAATAAGCGAGATAAGAATAAAAAACGATAGCCAATTCCAATACATGGCCATAGTGAATTCTTTAAATTGCAAGGATACTTAGGATGCATTGTTGATAATACAATATGTTAAATATTTTGGTCAACTGGAATCCACTTTATTGTGACACTACTGTCAATTTTTGTTCCAGTCATTATTTATCATTTTAAGATATGTTTTCCTTCTCTGACTATGCCTTTGATGCAAATAGTAGGAAGAGTACAAGGGAAGTTGCACACGAATTTCCCCTTCACAGTTCAGCGGGTTATGAAGGACGGTCATTTTAGGCTAGTGCAGCATCTGAAGCTTGAACATAATCTTGATAGAGTAGAATTCTGTAGTGGTTACTAGAGATTTTACCTCTGTGGTACAAAACTAGTTGTTTAATTTTTATTTTAAAACATAGGCGTCCTGAAGTATGACATTTCTTTATGAAAGAGTAAACACATTTGGACAAAATTTTTTTAAAAGTTTTAAGACAATGTTAACCTAACCTATATGTATAATATACATTGTTTATAATCATTATGGTCTTCACTAAAGCTAGGGTAGCCGTCTTCTTCTTCTTCTTCTTCTTCTTCTATACTTTTTATTCTCTCTTTCGAGAGAATTGGACTTGAGCCAATTAGGGTCTTACTGCCCAGTTACAAGTTTTTACGTCCTTGAGCTTCTCGAAGCCATCCACTCACTGACATTTATAATTTCAAATCTTGAGACATCCACTAAAACCATTGGACAAATCACAAAATACCTCGCTTAAAGGTCAAAGCTTGCGATATTGTCGAAAAATCCCGGTATATTTCTATACCGGGAACCCCATTTTATCCTTCCTGGGTCAAAGTCAACTACTTTCAGACTTTTTCATGGAGCGATGTACAGCCCTTGAAGGATAAAATCGAACTCCAAAAACTAGATACAACTTCTATGGAATGCCAGCTTTCTAAATAGTTCAAAGTTGGTGTAATAGTTTTTCAAAATTTTACTAATTTTTTGGGACAAAATATCGACTGTTTAATAAACATTTGTCTCAGTGTATCTGCTGATTTTACCTTAGTTATATGTTTATTTTAAAAACTAATGTAGAACAAGTTACGGTCTACGCGGCAAGACGAGATGCCGACTTTTATTTTTATTTATTAAAGGCACCGCCCAGATTGTGAACAGGATCCATTCACATCTTGCAAGTCCACTTGTTATACATTTTTCCTTAATTAACCCTTCTTCAAATGAAAGATCGAAAATAATTTCTCCATTTCAGTATTTCTTAGTATCTTATGCTGCTAGTGCTCAAACGTGGTTGTTTGGAAAAAGTAAAAGTCATTAGGCTAGGATGGTAAAAAAGATATTTTGTTTAAATTAATTATTGTAATTTTTACAAAAATGGTGGATGCGCCGAAAACACACACTTTACTTGTTTACAATAAAATATAGTTATAGTTATTTTCGTAGGGTAGGTAAGAGCAAATATTTTTTTCGTAGCAAAAGTCGTATGAAGTATACCAAAGCGATGTTGCCAGCGCCTTTGGTGTATCTGTTCCACTACATTTATTTATATTTTATCCTTTTAATTTTGCTTAAACTTTTTTATGGTCTGATAATCAATACACGATTTACCCACAATTAATTTTTTTAGATCAACAATTGTTACTTTTAACGCATCAATTAAGTTGTCTAGTAACTGTAGTACTTTTTTAAATTTCATTTTTATGTTTTAAACTGTGTTACAAATCAACAAAAAGTGATATTGTAGTTTTTGTTATAATTTTTAATAAATTTAGACAAAATAATGTTTTTTTCCTGATTGTTGTTTAAATATAATTACCTAGTTAATATTTTAAAATATTATATTGTTGATAAGTACCTAACACATTTCATTAAAAATTTTATCATGTGTTTTCATAATTTTTACGAGGCATCAAATAGAAACATAACTCGTATTGTTGTTGCTTTAATTACCCAAACTGATTTAATGATACTTTTAACTACCCATGGGTAGTTTCAAGGTGTTAAATTTATTTTATGGACGACATAATAATACATATACGGTTTAACACCTGTAATTTGTGTTTCTAAACCAATAAATCAATTAACTAACTGCTTACAGAACTAAGTATTTTGCACTGCAAATATTTAATTAAAATTACGAATGTAAAGTCAGGGTTTGGTTGGGCTAATTTTAATATAATTCGTGTATATATTTTTTTAATCAAATAATTAAACCGAGAATTATTAATAATTTAGATATGGGTCCAATGAAACTAAAAATAAATAAATTAAATTTATTCATAATGTTATTCCCCATAAAAATCTTAAATTTAACAAAATCGTTTTTTCATATTTCTACTATATTTTGTTAAAAATCTTTTGTGCTTACATTGAAATTATCGATTGCGACAGTTTTTCAGGCTTGACGTTTGAATTTTATATTTTCTTTGCTGATTTCTAGCGATAGATGAAACCACTCTTCCTATGTAATTTCAATGTATTTTCAGTGTTAAAATATGAAAATTAAAATAGGCTTGAAAAAAAACATATTTTAATTTATATAATTCATGCGCGGTTGTTTTAAGTGCTCTCTAAAAATGAAATAGTCAAAATTCCACTATTTGACTTAGTCTCAGCATTTTTTACGTTTTCACTTTTAAATATTTATTTTATACTACGTAAATAGTTAGACTATTTCTGAGAGTCAAAAGTAACTAATTTCTTTAATCGTTTGCGGCCAACAACAAAGTATTATTTGAATTAAATGGCTCCATGGTTAAATGACAAATAAAAACAAATAAAGATTCAAAAAGTTTAGCAACACAAATAATATAAGTATTTAACTTTAAAATATTATGAACAATATTTATTGACAAATAACATTGATTTTTATTAGAGCGACTGATAGCCAAATGGGTTATGACAACAGCTTGACAAGCTTGATAAGTGACAGACCTGAGTTCAATCCCCGGCTCAAAACTTTTTTTAAATTTAAATCTACTAATTTCACTATTTCATTCAGTAGAATTGACTAATTAAAATTATAATAATAATAATAATAATGTAGTTTTTTGTTCGAGAAATCAATATAATATATTTTTTTAAAGATTTGCTGCTTCTATATGGGATTTATACGGTTGTTAGTACATTTTTAAGGGAAAATTTTTGATTTATACTGAAAAAATTGACATTTTCTGCCGGTAATACAGATTTATATTCTTAAGATTACTCTATTTTTATATAGATGTCGCTCTACACAAATATTTAATTTAAATAATTTTTATTTATTAATAATTATTGTAATGTCGTGGAAAAAGTGTAGTTTGCAACAGGTTTATAAACTTTTTTAGACACTCATTTAATGAAAGACTCGCTCGCAAGCTCGATTGTACCTAATTTAAATTTGTGACTAAAATGGCTTTTATCCAACTTGAGTATAATAATAATGATTAAAAAAACATTGTAACAACAACAACAAAAATACTATAGGTTTAATTTAATAATGCATAAAGTGGATATTAAGTGACGTAGTTTAGAAGCGAGATCCGTTTTAAGAATATCAGCGATTTCTCTAGAAAATAGCCGGATGTTAAATCCTATACAGATGCTTGGAAAATCAGTCCACACTGTGTGTGCAATTTTGTAAATCGCATACTTTTATTATTTAAGTAGAAGATAGCTTTTAACTGATTTAAGTAGTTTTCCTTTAAATAAAAAATATAGTAATTTTTTTACAATTATCGTCGCCTTCAAACACATTTATAAAGGGAGTATAGGTCAGAATCAGAATTTTCAATAACGATATCACAACGGTAACTATTTTTTTATCACACGTTGTTTTAACTTGTTCTTTGTAGTTTCTCATAGTAAAAACTACACCATTTATATTTAACTATTTTCTACTGTGAGGGTAAATAAAAAACTACTTTGTTCAACCGTTTTGCCGCCCCACATACAGGGTACAAATTTAAGGGGGTAGTACCAAAAGTCGATTTTTGGTCGCATTTTGGTACAATAAACATAATATGTCCAAAAATTAAACAAGCCTTTTAAATTTCGCCCCCTGATTGGGCGAGACGACCGAACAAGTGGTTAAAAAAAACTGACAAAATTTAGAATAATTTTTTTCTGAAAACTGTTGACGATGTAGAAGCTGAAAGAAAAGCAGGTAAAGTTTATTTTTAATTCTGGTTTTTGGTTTAACGTAGGTACCTTAATATATTATATAACCTTAGAATGAACAGGTTGTGAGTGCACTTGCTATTTTAAGCGAAAATGCTTTATCTGTAACATTTAATATTGTAGATAAGTCATCTTAATCAAATAATTTTTTTTGTACTTCAATTTTTCATTTCCCTTATTCTAAAAAAATAGGGACAGCAACTTGCACCATTGCAATGCATTGCCCCAATTAGAAAGTTTGTAGATCCGGGCCTGTCTCAAGTGCTAGTTTAACGCATTTTGATGCGCTATTTAGTATTTACATACATGTGTGTGGTGAAGATTTGTTTAACTTATTAATAATACGTTATGGTCTGATAATGGAATTCATTGATTTATTATTAAATATGCTTTTTATTATATACATGTATTAATTATAATACTAGTCATTGGTATACATAATCCAAACAGTTTTATATCAACAGATTGACTATACTATAGTATGAAAAACAATTAAGTTATACTTTGTTACCAATTCTTAACACATTTTTCGTCGAGGCAATAGGAATTCTTTATTACTTTTCTGACACCTAAAAATACGTTAAAATCATCCGTAAAATAAAATAAATCACCCGTAAAATAAAAACCTTATGATTTAAAGTGCTGGAAAAGTTGCCCCAACAACTTTCCTATTGGGCAATAGGTTAGTAAAACTTAAATATAAATCAAACAAATATAGGAAGAAAGAATCAAGGTAACAAAAAATAGCATAAGCCTAAAAATTAGATGTAAAATAAACATTTATCCGAAATTGGCAGTAAAGTAGTCAACAATCGGCAGTAAAGTAAAAGAAATCGGCAGTAAAGTGGAACTTTACTGCCGATTTAATACGATTATTGTATGCAACTTATTATACATTTTAAGATGTGTCTACTGCTCCTCAGCAGCAACTAAATAATATTTTAAAAAAGCAAGCGGAGGTCGATTGGACCCTTTCATAAAATGTTGTTTAATAAAAATAATAAATTAATTTTATGAATTAGATTAAAAAATCGCCGCGGCGGGCAAATATACAGGGTGTTTCATAATATATGCGCAGGATGTGATAGCTCATCCTCTAAAATGCACAATTTTCGAGATACAGGGTGTTGTAATTTTAGAAAAAAATCGTTTTTTTCGAATATCTCCGGAACCGTTTATCGTAAAAAAAACAGCTTTTGTAAGCATTTTCTACTCATAATAAGCTATGTTTTGTGCCAGAAAAAAAATTTTTTTTTTTACTTATAATTGGTGGAGTTTTTGATGGGGTAGCGGGTGTTTTCTCCTCAACTTCTACGCCCCTGAAAAAAGTACGGTTTTGAAAAACCCATTCGAACCGCCAATTTCTACACAAAAAAGGTACTCTTGGTCATAAGCTCTAAAGTTGACCGTTTTCGGGAAAAATCAACTTTTATGTTTAAAAACATGGTCAATTTTTTGAAATTTTTTTTTTTATCTAATTAAACAAAATTTATTTTAACGTTAAAACAAGTAACAAAACCAAACGATAATTGCAAAATTAAAAAAAAAATAAAAAATGATTTTTAACACAAATGCTGAAATGTGCGAAATCGGCCATTTCAAGCGCTCGAAACGCACGAATTACAAAACAGTTTTTATAAAAAAAATTGTAGATTATTTATTATATAATATTTTGGCATCAAAATTGTCAAAAATATTCTTCTTTTATTAGCTTATACATTAAATAAAAAAAAACGCAAGAAATATTTTATAAAAGTAGATATAATTTTAATAATTGAAAGGTGTGGACGGGACAAAAAAAAAGATTTATCTTGTCCCGTCCACCCCTGTCAATTATTGAAATTATCTCTACTTTTATAAAATATTTCTTGTGATTTTTTTTATTTAATGTATAGCCTAATAATAGAAGAATATATTTGACAATTTTGATGCAAAAATAATATATAATAAATTACCTACAATATTTTTTATAAAAACAGTTTTGTGATTTGTCCCGTCCATCCGCTTGAAATGGCCGAAATGCGTTTGGAGAATTTTGCAAAGACAACTTTTGAATCATTTTTTATTTATTTTTAATTTGGAAATTATCGTTTGGTTTTGTTACTTTTTCTAACGTTAAAATAAATTTTGTTTAATTGGTAAAAATTTTTTTTTTTAATTTGACCATGATTTTAAACATAAAAGTTGATTTTTCTTGGAAACGGTCAACTTTAGAGCTTATGACCAAGAGTACCTTTTTTGTGTAGAAAACATTGGCGGTTCGAATTCAAAACCGTACTTTTTTCAGGGGCGTAGAAGTTGAGGAAAAAAACGCCTGCTACCCCTTCAAAAACTCCACCAATTATAAGTAAAAAAAAAAATTTCTGGCAAAAAACATAGCTTATTATGAGTAGAAAATGCTTATAAAAGCTGTTTTTTGTACGATAAACGGTTCCGGAGATATTCGAAAAAAGATTTTTTTTCTAAAATTTCAACACCCTGTATCTAGAAAATTGTGCATTTTAGAGGGTAAGTTAATAGCGACTTTTTTCATCTTTTTGGATGAGGTATCACATCCTGAAGTCCTGCGCATATATTATGAAACATCCTGTATATAATAACCGTCGCAACAAACAGTATACGTAGACACTTCCTACATTCAAATGACTTTTGAATTGATCATCAAATGACATTTGATTTAATCATCAATATTAATTATTAGTATTATTTAATGTGATTTCGGAAAAAATTTAATATGCACCTCGGCATTAAAGTCATTTTTTAAAATACGACTTTACTGCCTTAATACATAAATAACTATTATCGTTCTTTTGTGGAAGTAGCTATATTTTAATAGTAATTAATTATTTTCTAGCGCACTATTATAATAATTAATATTCCTGATATTCCGTGTGTTCTGGAAATAATCCATCATGCAACGGTTAGGGTTGGTTACCATCCGTAAACGATATAAGAGTTGGTCGACAAATTTCCTCGTTCATTTGCGATAATGAGATTTACAAGTGCGGTGCTGGTTTTCTTAGTTTTCGGCGCGTCGCAGGCGTCCTGGATGAAGGACGTCGTCTCGCCGGAGGGCCTGAAGTTCGGCACAGGATTTGTGGCGAAATTGCAGGATAACGGAAACGTTAACGGTTCGTTCTTGGAACGGGTGGCGTTGAAAGTGGATTACGGGGAGATTGGGGTGAGCGTGGCCAGAAACGCGGAAATAAACGACGTGGAGATGAGTTTTTACACCAACGATGTTAGTGAGGGTAAGGATGCTTACTTGGATAAGAATTTACAATCATTTCGCGTGGTGGAAATATAAACTGGCCACCAAGGTTCTGTGATTTAACGATATCAGACTTTTTAATATATCTATCTGAAAGCTAGGGTCTATGTTATTAAAAAAAGAGACATGTCAAATTTAAGCTACCCATGTTTTCATAACACTAAGTGACCTTTTAAATACACATTGATAAGTTGTGGCTTTATGGCGTTTTAGTCATAAGACGTCATTTTGTCGCACGCGGACAATTTATAAAACGAGCTACGATGGAGCGATTTTTTTAATGGACAAGTGCGAAAAAAGGTCTTATGATATGAGTTCTTTATGCTATTTTATCTATTTTTTACCTTAAATTTAATTTGGTCGAATTTTACTTTAGATAGTTGGTATCACAGTATTGGTTTGACAGTTAATGTCAAAATCGATTCGCCATGCCGTCCTTAATTTACTTTTTAACAATAAGCGGCTGTTAATGTTAAAGAAGAAAAAGGATTTTTTTGGTGTTAAACAAAATTTATTGCCAGAAAAGTCTCGTAAGTACCAAAAAAATCATAAAAATATTTTAACCAATTTGCAAAATATTATGCTGTTTAAAGTATAGCCAACCTATAAAATAAAAATTTTGGGTGGGATAAAGTATCTCATTACAGCACCAAAAGCGGTGTTATAATAAAGTCATTATGAACCCAAAATAGATAAAAGCAATTTATGAAATGAAATGTCACATTTGACACATTAATTAAAATTTTAAATTTGAAAACCGTTATCTAAAGGCGAAAATAAAAGTTTGACCGTGTCACGCTAGCCCGTAAAAATTAATTTACAAAGCTTGACCCTTAAACTGTTATTTACTTTTACAGAAAGTGCTTCGATATATCTATAGATTTCCAATAAATACAACTCACTTATTGTACCTTTAACATTTCGTGTTTAAATTTTTTTTAAACTTTGTGATAATATTTTGCAATTATAGTATCGAAAAAATCAAGGATAAAATATTGTCACAACATAATCATATTTTGAAGTTATTTTACAATAGAGTAATTGCATCAAAAATGAAAATCCCTAAAAACCTTTTTATTGTAATCTAGAGGTAAAAACACATTGCGAAAATATTTTTTTATATTCCAAAAGTTCAACCCGGCCCCAAAATATTAAATTGAAAAAAAGGTCCTTTTAAACGTTCATAAAGCTACACCAGTGTCAGAAATCAAGATCAAGATGTCAACAAATAATAAACACCGATAAAGTTTATGTTTAACATGGAAAACGCGAAACCAAAAATTGGTTGTAAATATTGTTTTGTACCTTGTTGTACAAATACAACCTGGAAAACTCCTGGGAAAAGGTTTATCACCGTGCCAAAAGGGAAAATAAGGATAAAGTGGATTAAAATAGCTCGGCGCGATATCAAAACATCGTCACCGCAGTCAACATTTTATTGCTCATTTTAAGGATCATTTTAATGTAAGTAAAATAAAATGTCGTTTACTAGGTATATGGTTTGAAAAGGTATGTTAAATATTAATAAACTAAAGAAAATACGGCTGAGCCGTAACTACTCTCAGTGTAGGGTCATAAATTTTGCTTTTGATAATTGAAGGGACAACTTTCCCAGGAGTTTTCCAGGTTGTATTTCTACAACAAGGCACAAAACAATATTTACAAACAATTTTTGTTTTCGCGTTTTCCATGTTAAACATAAACTTTATCGATGTTTATTATTTGTTGACATCTTGATTTCTGACACTGGTGTAGCCTTATGACGTCATGCAATATGGCGGGAGTTCGGAACGTTTGAAAAGTACCTTTTTTTCAATTTGATATTTTGGGGCCGGGTTGAACTTTTGGAATATAAAAAAATATTTTTGCAATGTGTTTTTACCTCTAGATTACATTAAAAAGGTTTTTAGGGATTTTCATTTTTGATGCAATTACTCTATTATCAATAATTGTTAAGTTTCATTAAAATAATAACGGGCAATGTTAATGGAGATAATTACGCTAAAAGTTTTTATTGAAATGGTTACTTTATTTTGGTAAATATGTCGCTTTATACAAATATTTAATTAACTTGTTTGTAATATTTTCTAGAAACTCATTTGACTAAGCACTCGCTCGCAAGCTCGCCCGTGCCTTAATTAAATTCGTGACTAAAATGGCGTTTATCAAATTTGATACATAATATACTGTTTTCTACTCCCACCTTTAAAACGCCCATTACCGTACATGTTTCCATGACACTGCGTATCTACATTGACGAGTTGTGGCTTTATAACCTTTTAGTCACGGGCTGAAGTTAGCAACAGGTTTTTAATTACGGGCTTAAGATATTTTTAAGTTGACAATTATCAAATGTGATACAATCGTTAAAAGAATGTGCCCTTCTTGTAAAATATTACTAAATGTAAAAAATTATCTCAACTCCAATACTTCACAAGTTTAATTTTAAGGGCAGTAAACTAGATTAAACTTAATTTCGGGTAAATACACCGTGGAGGGCTAATAAAAAATATGTCTTTATTTTTGCTGTGAAAAACTGCTTCTATATCGGATTTAACCGGTGCTTAGTCAATTTTTAAGGGATACATTTCGATTAACACATTTACATTTGGGTGAATATATTGAGATGTCCCCCAAGTGAAAATGATTATTTTTTATTTTTGGTTGTTTCACTGTTAGTCTAGAATGGGATTTTTGGGAAGCCACCAAGTCTAGTAATAACATAACATAAGTGGTTCTGCACTAATGCAAGCATTTTAAGAAATCATACATTTATTAAAGCTTCACGGAAAATAGCTTCACGGAGGTTAGGATTTCGTATGTTTTTTAAAACATCCCTTTGTTTATTTGAAATAAATTATTGTATCTTTTGACACCTTAATATTTTTTAAATTTACAATTGTATTAATAAAAAAATCTACTTAATGAGATATTACACTTCACGGTGGATAGGTTTTTAAATCGCAAATTAATGAACTTAAACTTTTGAATTATAAAACAGCAACACTCTCATCTGCATATAAATTCTAACTGACCTTCAGGAATCACATGTATCTGTAATGTCGCTTATTGAAAATGATTTAAGCCCCATCCGTTGCATAAAATTTAAAGCAAAAACAGATTCACAGAGGATAGAATGAATTTTTGTAACACCTACATAAATGGTTATAAAAATTATTTCTTTTAATTTTTAATAATATTTTATATTTGATTCAATTGCTTTGGATGTGTTTCATTTACTTAGTGAACTGATATTTTTAGTATGCGTTTACTATCTCAGATATTTAAAAACATATAGGTTAACCTAGAAAGAGTAACATTCACGGAGGATAGGTTTTAGACTTTTAAAACATTGTAAAAAAATAATTAATTGCGGTTAAAAATCTGGAACCTGAGCTGTAATAACTACTTAATTATGAGAGATTAAAACACAATAAAAGTGTAGGTCAAATTTATTTAGTTTTATTAAATATCACGGGGTAACACCATCGGGGGACATTTCGTGAGATTCTCCCATTTACACACGTTGTTTACTCTTGTTTATAAACTTTTCTAGACACTCATTTAATTAAGCACCCGCTCTTAAGCTCGCTTAGGCCTTAATTAAATTCGTGTCTAAAATTACGTTTATCAAACTTGATACATAATATACTAAAATATCCAAACCTTATTTAAAAAATTTATATTTTAGTTATTAAGTTTAATTTAATAAGAACTTTCATAAATAAATAAAACATGATTTATTCAATTTCTAGGCAGAGGCGGCGGTAAAAAGGACAACACTTTATCCTTTTTGATGGGATTTAAGGGTGCCGCTTTGGTGACAGCCATTCTTGCCGGCATGAAGCTTTTAGTGTTGAAAGCTCTGCTGGTGGCCAAAGTTGCGCTCGTCGCATCTGCCTCGCTTTTAATAAAGAAGCTTTTGCACCACGAAGAACACTCGCACTACGAGATCGAGCCACACGAGTCGCAGCATTATCCTGTCTTCGCTGAATATCCGCAACATCAGAACGCAGGTAAATATTTAATAAAGGAGACGTTCTATAAATATCTTGAATAGACTGGGCCAAAAAAATTGACTATTTTTTTTTTTTTAATATATCGAGAATGTCATTCAGAATATACAGATAAAAAAAAATTCGTGAAAATTTGAGCCCTTAATATTAATTTTAAGAGTTCTATCATCGCTATTTTTGATTTTTAGTCATAATTTGATGTTTTACGTTAGAACTGTCAAAACATTAAAGTGAAAAAAAATCCTTTTTATTTATTTTTATATAAAATTTAAGTCTCTACAAAAAAGGTATGATTGAAAATTTTTGTCAGACGGGCCGTTTCCGAGTAATTGAGCTTAATAAATCGATGTGTTTTTTCGATTTGCCCTTTTTACTTTGAAATTTTGTAACTAATGAATTAATGAATATTTAAAAAAGCTCACGTCGGATTCTTAAAGTAAATTTAATGTTCTACAAAAAAGGTTTCTTAACATTTTTGCCTAAATTTAATTCTTCAAAAGTTCACGAAGAAAAAATTGAAATTTTAAGTTTTTCTTCGATTTTAATCGTGAATAACTTTTGAAGAATTAAATTTAGGCAAAAATGTTAGGAGACCTTTTTTGTAAAACATTAAATTTGCTTTAGGAATCCGACGTTAGCTTTTCTAAATATTCATTGATTCATTAGTTACAAAATTTCTAAGTAAAAAGGGCAAATCGAAAAAACACATCGATTTATTAAGCTCAATTACTCGGAAACGGCTCGTCTGACGAAAATTTTCAATCCGACCTTTTTTGTAGAGAATTTAATTTTATATAAAAATAAATGAAAAGGAATTTTTTTCACTTTAATGTTTTGACAGTTCTAACGTAAAACATCAAATTATGACTAAAAATCAAAAATAGCGATGATAGACCTCTTAAAATTAATATTAAGGGCTCAAATTTTCACTAATTTTTTTTTTTGTTATTCTGAATGACATTCTAGATATATTTTTCAAAAAAAAAATAGTCATTTTTTTTGGCCCAGTCTAATCTTGAATATCTTGAATATTAACTGATGGACAAAATTAAAGCACATTTCCAAATTTATAATTTGGATGTTTTGTAGCCTAAAGAGTGCTAAATAAGTTTTTCAAAGCGTGTTATAATATTAATAATAATAATATGTGTTTAAAATAATTGTACAATAATTTACATAAATTTTATACACAATTGGAAAGAGTTCGGCTTTGCCGTTCTTCCACTCTCTCAGAATTAAAAAAAAACAAATAAGTTAAGGGATAGTACCTATAGATATTCCCAAAATAATGATACATATAAAACTGTTACAAAAAAAAAATAAACAATAACATTTCGTGGGTAAACCACAGAGTTATTGGACACTTAAGGAATATTATATACTATTTATTTAAAATATATAAATGCCGTTGTTTTAAAGATTTTAGTTTTTTTCTTACAAATATATTAAAAGGATAGTTTGTTGGTTTAAACTTTATTTACGTTTACTTAAAAATAAAAATATTTGAATTTTTAATAATAGTTTTATCAAAACATGCAAAAAAGTATAGTAATTGGACTCATGGAACATAGTTATTGGACATACAATTTTTATATAAACATAACAACTTTAGATCAAATAACATAAATTGTTAAATATTTTTTAAAAATAAATTGCTGTTTTAGGTAACTTTTTTTATTTCGTTTTTGTAAATATCATATAATTCATATATTTCTTTCTCAGATTCCTCATCCCTTTTCTGGATTCTGTAGGTAACTACTAATTCCTTGGTCTGACTTCTGAAATAGTTTGTTGCAAATATCATTAAGTGTGGTATCTCTAGCTTTATAAGCATTTATAATGTGTAGGCCAGAACAGGATGATTTATATATATCTAATATTTTTTCGGGTGGTATGTTAAAAGTATTTTCCGAATTTATTAATTTTGTTGCCATTAGTTTTATGTTTTCTATCATGCACTGTATTTAAATCACTGTTATTCTGCAAGATGTCCTGTGACGAAGAAATTACTATATTACTTACTTTCTAAAAATGAATTAGTCAAAAATGTCCTAGCGAAAAAGCAGCGACTAATAATTCTCGTCAACAGCAATTTGTATCCAGGACATTTAGCAGTCAATTCCTTTGAAATATTATTCGCTGAATCCGAAAATGTCGCCAAAAGTTATAAAAGTAGAACAGTTTTTGAAATATAATCAATTTTACATATAATATGGAATTGACTATATCTTAAAAACTGCTTAACTTTTATAGTCTTTTCGGATTCAGGGGACAATTTTACATAAGAATTGGCTGGTAAATGTCCCGGATACAAATAGAGTATGATATTGGACATATATCCAAAAATAGAAATTTACATTTTTCGATAGTAATTACTAATTATTTTTAATTTAATTTAATTTAATTATTATTTTTGATAGTAACTACTAATTATAATGGGACACTGGGCATTTTACTGTTTTTTTCCGGAATTAAAATTAAAACGCATTAAAGTGAGAATGTTTAAACCATGAGGAACACATTTATACCAAACACTAATCTGTTCACTGTTTAGAAATATTTTTTATTGTAATTTAAACACAGCCCTGCTCTTAACAAAAAAACAACTTTTTTGTCATATATTGGACCCAAAATAAAGTAGTTCTATATTACCGACTGAGATGGTTATAATTGTAAACAGCTTCATCTAATGATTTGACTTTAAGGTAACTATTTATAGAACTTTTACAGTATTAATGTTAATTGTCCAATAACTAGAAGTGTCCGATAAATGTCTACTTTACCCTATATAGGCTATAAATCAATTGTCTTTCTTAATAATTTAATTTTGCACTTTTCCCTAAATTTATTTTCAGAAAAATTTAAAAATTCAAATAAAAAGGACATTCATTTGATTTAGTCTATTTAAGAATGGTGTAACATGATCTCTAAAATTAATATTCGCGGGTTTCTGAAATATATGGGCTTCTTAAATACACAGTAAAAAATATTTGTTAATTTTAACCAAATAATAACCAGATTTTGTGTTAATCCTGGTCCACATAACTTTATAATAAGTTTACAACAAACTAATTGAATAAGTAGTTTGTAATTATAACAGATTAGATAGATTTAATGACAAATTGCTATACACGCTACAGAAAGGCATTAAAAACATGCTTTTCTCATGTTGAAGTATTTTAGTATTTTTTATTAATTATAAAATCCATTTTTAGGAGGAGGCAATTACGAATACCAACCCAGCGCGTCACAACAATACTTCGCCTATAATAACCACTACGCACCGAGTGCCTTAGCTGAATCGCAAGTGCAATTTCAAACAGTGGAGGCGGGTCAAGGAAACGGCACCGCCGCCATCGGTCAGGAAACCCAAGTAAAAAGAAAAGATATGATTAGAAAGAAGCAAAAAATAACAGTAGCACCGACTATACTGACCATACGAAGATATCATTTAGATAAATAGAAGATTAGATTAGGTACTGTCGAATGAATAATTCTATAAATAAAAATAGTAATAATAATAAATATTAATATAGCACTATTTAAAAGGTAAAATATTGTAAATATAATTTAATAAGTATTTCTCTGTTAAACCAACAAGACTTCTTAACAATAAAATCAAAAACAATTTTTTTTTTTTGAATTTTTAAACTTTTAGTAAATATTGCATTTTCACAGTGCCCATGTATATTATAAAATTCCCAGTGCCGCAGTAAACTTTTAGTTTTGTTGAAGGTTTTGTACACAAACTTAAATGCGAAGAACTACTAGACTGGAGACAAAATCAACAATTTTGTTTTAGAAAATATATATTATTTCTTAAACATTTGTTTTTAAGTTTTACTGTCAATGTTAAAATTCGTAAGCGACACCTACAAATTTTTAATTGAGCTGATTTTTGGAGATAGATCCTAAAACATGATAAACTAACATATTTTCATAGCAATATGCACATGTTTACATTTTGTTTTTTTCACAAACTTTATTTATATAATAAAATAAATGCAATTCAACGATTTTAAGGTATTATAATCTCAATGTATGGGCTTAAGCTACGATTATACTCACTAGGATTACAGTTAACATTCAATGATTTTAAAAATATTTATTAATATTTTACAAATTCTGTGTTCATTCGCGCGTCTGGGGTGTTTTGTTTTAGTCCAGCTTGGATTTGAATAGGTAAGTCTATTATCATACCCTAGTTTATAGATCTAATTGATGTATTAAAATTTGAATATTAGTTATTACAGTCGTAGTTTAAGCCTATAAATTCAGAATATAATACCTTAAAATCGTTAAATTGAATTTATTTTATTATACATAAATTATACATAAATAAAGTTTGTGAAAAAAAATTTCATTTTTAAAAATTACACATTTTTTTTTCAATTAAATAAAAAAAATTGAAAAAAAAATCGGCCCACTCTGGGATTGGCAGGAATAATTGTAACATTAGTTGAAGTTTTTTTTTGAGAAAAAAAAATAAAAAATAAAAAATGTCGAACTTCGCAAAAATAACGATTTTATTAAAAAAAGCGATAATTTCATAAAGTTGATCATGTTAAATTTCTATTTTTTTCAAAAAATTCATTTAAAAATAAAAATTTCAATACCAAAAGGTCAATTTTTAAAAAAGTTATGGCTATTTAAAAATAAAAAACCTATTTATTTGAAAAATTTAAGACGTTTTTGGGGTTGGATAAAATAATAATTATTATAATAATAATTATAATAATTATTATAATAATATAATAATAATAATTATTTGAAAAAATTTTTAAAAATGTTTTTCAAAGGGTAGAAAAGAATGCGAAACTTTTGGCCAGATCGAAAGGGGTCGGGTTCAAAAGTGGTCGATTTGGCATGGAAAGTTTGTGAAGATTTTTTCCATAGGCCCATTTTATTACTTTATAAAAAAACATTAAAAAGTCTTTTAATATCTTCAAAACTATCAGCCAAGAGATATAAATGTTCATATTGCTGGAATCACAATTTTATAATCTATTCGAATCTCCAAAAAAAGTTATGTGTTTATTTTGGCTGCCTTCAGACAGTAGAAGGTAGAAATATCTATTAAATAAAACCAAAGCATAACTTTTAATTATTTTTATAAAAAAAACATAAATAAAGAATTTCAGTGATGTACAAAACAAAAAATAAATATTAAATAAATAATTTAAATTACAAAACAACGAAACACCAATATGGTGTTCCACAGGGGTAGATCACTTGACTATTTATTGAGGGGGAATTTGAGCGCTGTACGCCATCTTTTGGGCATCCTTGGCATCGAAGTTCCTGCCCCAACCGCCTCCATAAGACTCGTGACCGCCGCTTGGGTGGTGTTCTTCGTGGTGCTCGTGATGTGGCTGAGCTACGACCTCGTAGGTCACGTGTTTCTCTTGATGCAAGAGCTTCTTAAGACCGATGACGGCAGCCAGTACAAGAGCCAGCTAAAAAGATTTAAAGATTTGTATGTTATGTTACAGACGTAATCTGAGTTGTCTAAGTACGCACCTTGCTGACCAAGAGCGCCTTTCCCACGAGGAGTACTAAAGCTTTGAATGCTAAAGCTTTCAGGAGACCAATCTTCATGACTGCAGCAGCGATTATTGCTCCCATGCCATCGTTACCCTTCTTTTTACGGGCATCGCCGTTTTCAGAGGACTCACTGGGTTTCAGGGATAGTCCCATGTTCAAACCACCATCCTTAGCCTGGCTACCGGAAACTACAACGTCAGCTCCATCAACCACCTGCAAAAAAATTAAATGTTTTTAATGGTTTACGTAACAGTTGTTGGTTGTTAGATGCATAGTGCACGTTAATTATCTTCAGGAGAAAGCACCGAAGCGCGATGCACTATGGTATAAGGTCAAGTGTGGCGAATACCATATGTCCATTGCCATGGAAAATAGATAATTTAACATAAGTAATAGAATAAGCCTTTTAAGCCAAGTTTGCCTTTGATTTAGGTGCAAATAAATTGAAAAAGAAGCAGTGATAAGCGAAAAGAACAAGTTCATATTTAAAGATAGACATCTTAAGTGTCTGTAAAACAACTACTTCAACTTCAGCCTTATCTTACCTGCCATTTAAGGCTTCTAGTACTAGCAAAACGGAAGATTTTGTCGGCAATAACTTGGCTTAATTGGGCATCTTCAGACGCATCTAGGAGGCTTCTAGACGTCTCGATCACAACCTTATCGTTAGGGGTGGTTTGCTCGATCTGAACTTCACCCAAATCGATGGACGATTTTTTCAGCATTCTATTGAAATATGTGACCAGTTTCAACATCATGCAGGAGCTAAAATCGTTTTTTGCGCATTTTGAGTTAAGTTTTTTTAGTAAAGACTCCTCAATGCTGCTCTGCTCGGGCAGTACCTAGAAAAGTTTCCACATTGTTAAGTTTTAGTAAATATGATACAATTAGTGTTGTGGATAAAAAAAATTACTGACCGAATTTTCGATATGTCCTTTGTCGTCGACCACTGGCCCGGCAGCGGCAAGGGCAACAAAGGCCAGGGAGAGCACAACACAGATCACTTTACAGTTCATTTTCACTAACTAAAAGGTCGTTGTAATTTGAAGGTATCCAAAGCACCAAAGTGTTGCGAATCGAATGATGGGGTTCGTAGCCCGCAGTTTGACTTTATAGGAAGGCTCGCGTAGTGCAAGTGTGTCGAGTGGACCGGCGGAATAGTGGGACTCCGGTCCGGTGCGTGAGGGGGCCAACGGGCGACCACCTCGAGAACCTGTACAATTCACCTGGCCGATTGTTATCTAGCTAGATGCTTTGATCACTTGTTATTGACAGTGAAATTTTAACGATTTTTTTATTCACATTCTGTGCCATTCGGGTTTCACGTTAGCTTCAGGTTTTTTGGTTGGTCATTTCGGTTTCTGATTTTCCTTGCTTAACTTCATTCTATACTATTAAATATTTTAATATTATTAAATATACCAGCGGGGCTGTTCGATTATTAATTTATGAACTACAAATTTGCTATTAGAGTAATTTTCTTTTAAAGGTTATCTACATCCTTTAGCAATACTCAGCTTATATAAATCTATGTAATTGCATCTTAATTAGTACAAGATATCAGACTTACTTTATAATAATTTGTAGTTTGTAATGTCTAATGATAAATCATTAGGTATTAGTGTAAATTGTTTATAATTATTTTTTATTTAGTTTACCGATAATAATAATAACTTTATAATTGGATTATTTTCTTTTTTATATTTATTAATGAATATTATATTAAATAAAAATTTTGATTTATGAATATATTCATTCCTTTTTCTTTCTTTATAAATAATATTAGTTTTTTATTTAATACATGTGTTTTTTTTAAATTAGTAATTTTTAATCTTAATTTTTTTGACAATTTAATAATGGCATATTATGTATCAAGTTTTATGAACGCCCGTGAACGCCATTTTCGTCACGAGTGTTAATTAGGCACGAGCGAAGCTTGCGAAAAAAACTATGTGTACTTTATCTACGAAGAATACAAAAAACATTAAATTCTATTTGTTTGACATTGACATTTTTCAGATACAGATAAAAAATGTGGAAATTATTTTACTATCCTAATGCTATAATACAAAATTATTAAATAGTTTGATTTTGTCATCAGCCAACTAGTACCCATAAAACATCCTCTTCACTTTTACTGTAAAAAACTGCTTTTTATATTTAAACGGTTGTTAGTCCGTTTTTAAAGGAAAAATTTGGATTTTTGCAGAAAACTTTGACACTGACATTTTAAAAGCCGGTAAAATAGATTTCAACTTGGTTACTTAATTTGTTCTATTTTATAATCCTTTAAAAAATATACTAAAAAAATCTAATTTCATTCAAACCAAAATAGGACAAATACACTACATATGTTAAAAATAAAAATCAACATAACTTTCTTAATATCAATTTTTAATTTCTGATTTTTGACTTACTCTATTTGACTGATAAAAAACGTTTTAAATATAACTAAAACAATTTTTTAAAACCTCATTTAAGAGAATATAATAAAATTAAGTATGTTTTAGCTTTTACCGGAAATTATAAAAAAACTGTTGTATTTTAATTAAAATGTGACAAGCTAAAAATGAAATAAATGAGAGAAATTAAAATATGTTTTAACTGTAAATTATTTCTATTGAGCGTTTATTAAGGGTCATGTTTCTAGCTTTAAAAAGTGGTTTATGTATATGTAAATACAAAAAATATAAATTTAAAGATTTCTATAAAGTGGACATCAATTAGTACAACTGAGATTTGCATAAAGAAATATTCAAATCAAAAAGGAAAGAAGAAGACCCAGTTAGACAAGTGTTATAATCTTATAAATATTTCAAATGGGTCATAAATAGGTAGATTTTTTCACTTTCGGTTTGAAACAGTGTTAATGGCATTCCTTGGAAATGGCCGTCGAATCTTTTAAAAAATTTACATAAAATTCTTAATATTTAGTTTTTATTTAGGCCCACTATAAAGAAACTTTACTTTAAAATATTGTTTTACCTACGAATTTATGTAAATTTAGGTGAATATATTTAGATGTCACCCAAGTGAAAATGAATATTTTTTATTTTTGGTTGTTTCACTGTTAGTCTAGAATGGGGTTTTTGGGAAGCCACCAGGTCTATAGACCTGGACTATAGTAATAACATAACATAAGTGGTACTGCACTAATGCAAGAATTTTAAGAAATCATACATTTTGAATATTAGAGCCTCACGGAAGATAGCTTCACGGAGGTTAGGATTTCGTATGTTTTTTTAAACATCCCTTTGTATATTTGAAATAAGTTATTGTATCTTTTGACACCTTAATATTTTTTAAAAATACATAAAATATTTATAAAAAAATCTACTTACATATTGAGATATTACACTTCACGGTGGATAGGTTTTTATATAGCAAATTAATGAACTAAAACTTTTGAATTATAAAACAGCAACACTCTCATCTGCATATAAATTCTAATTGACCTTCAGGAATCACATGCATCTATAATGTCGTAAACAGAGGTTTTTGCTTATTTAAAATGATTAAAGTGCCATCGGTTGCATAAAATTTAAAGCAAAAACAGATTCACGGGGGATAGAATCACCTAAATAAATGTTTATAAAAATTATTTCTTTTAATATTTAATAATATTTTATATTTGATTCGATTGCTTTGGATGTGTTTAATTTACTTAGTGAACTGATATATTTAGTATGCTCTTACTACCTCAGATATTTGAAAACATATTAGTTAACCTAAAAAGAGTCACGGAGGATAGGTTTTAGACTTTTAAAACATTGTAAAAAATAATTAGTTGTGGTTAAAAATCTGGAACCTGAGCTGTAATATCTACTTAATTATGAAAAATCAAAACACAATAAAAGTGTAGGTCAAACTCATTTAGTTTTATTAAATCACGGGGTAACACCATTTCGTGAGATTCACCCATGTAACACAAAACTTATTAAATTTGTTTATAATGGTAAATTTATTTTTTACGTATTTATTTAATTTTAATTAACTTATTATTTTACGTTTGTTTGCTATATTAATTCAAACGGTTTTGGTTAATTATAAAATTAAGATTTTAGAGCTTTAAGGTAATACATTTTTGTGAAGATCTTTCTCAGGATACCGACTTCTTAAGTATTTACAGTAAATGTTTATCTTTTTTTACTGTCAAATATTGGACTTGTTCACGCCAAACTAAATTGAGCAAACATTGTTAAAGCGGTAAAGATATTTTGTTAAACATCATTAGTACCCAACCGGCAGTACTTTCGTTGTTCTAACGAAAGTTGTTTAACATTCGGATTTCGTTTATTTGTTAAAACGCAATGTAAACCATATTTTGTTGTCTTTTTTTATTTGTATAACAAGTTTATGTCTAAGATGATGCAGGCAACGCGTGCTTGATAAAAAGTTGATAACGAAAGTTCCGTCTTCGATTGAATGAAGAATGTAAAGTAAAACAAAAAAGTTGTGTTGGTTTACATCATGGTAATTTTCTCGTAACCGCAGCTAAATAAATATTGATAAGGTTTATTTATTTTGATCTTAAAAAGTGAAAACCGCAATAACCGCAATTTTAAAAATTAAAATGTTTAAGGATGTCCGAAATTGGTCAAATATTAGATAAAATCCTAAAAAAATATAAGATATTGTTATAAACAAAATATGTCGGTTATTTATAAGTATATAAATTATCTTAATTTAAACGCATTAGAAGGTACCACGATTGTTGTACTTCTGAAAACCTATTTTCGAGTTAACAATAAGATCTTTAATACAAAATAACAATTTTTGAATACCTTTAATCACACGGTTTCTTAATCTACTTCTTTTAACTATTGTTTAACACAACTTAATACCGATCTCATTAATCTTTTTTGTTATACTAAAATTATTATTAATACAATTTTCTCTTATTATATTGCTCTAAATTACTTGTTTTACAAACTTTTGGATTTAAAGATTTCTTATAGTAATAAGTTTTGTCACGCTCCAATAAATTGGGTGTTAAAAAATTAAGTTTTTGTTTTTTTTTGTGAATTATTGTCCATTATTTACAAACTTGTTTTTTTTCGCTGTGCCCCAAAAATGTTTAGTTAATGACCTAAAAAATGTCAGTCATATAAGCCCTTAATATTCAAATTAACCCTTGCCACAAATACCATACATTTCCCAATTAAATAACATAGGGTTTCGGCATTCTCCCAAGCAAATTATCATATAGCAATAAGAACATATTTTTATAGGAAATTGAACGCTGTACAAAAAAGCTTTCTTATGAATTTTTGATTATTTCACTGGTTTAAAAGTTATTTAAGGTTAAAGTTAAACTTATAGTAATTTTTTCATTTTATTACTTTGACTGCAAAATTATCATTATTTTTATGAAAATGAATTGTTTATTTTTAAAATATGTGATTTTATTGTATTATTGAAAAAGTAAAAAATATTGAAAAGAGATAAGTGAAAGTTATTATGTTTTTACATTAAACGAATCTGGTACTAGTTTTACTCAATTTTAGAATAACCATTTTTTATATCTGTGAAATTATATACGATTTTATAAAATATTATACAATGAAAAGTTTTTCTCTAGCTGTAGCTAATGACGTAAAAATTCTTTTAACAATTATTTTCACAAAAAAATAAAATGCAGAGATGCAGAAATTTCGGCTACACCAATTATTCTTTTCAAATAAGTTAAATGTATTTTTCTACTCCCACCTTTAAAACGCCCTTTATCGTACAGGTTTCCATGACACTAAGTGCCCTTTTAAATTCACATTGAAAAGTTGTGGCTTTATGGCGTTTTAGTCATGGGCTGAAGTTAGCAACAGGTTTTTAGTCACAGGCTGAAGTTAGCTTTAAGTTAGTTGACAGTTGTCAAATGTAATACAATCGTTAAAATAAATTGCCTTTCTTGTAAAATAATACTAAATGTGAAAATTATTTTATTATGGCAATACAAAAATACAGAAGCATTAAATAGTTTATCAACTCCAATATTTGAAAAGTTTATATGAACTTTGTACTGACCTTTTAATTTCGCCGAAAGTAAACTGGATATATCCTATAGGTATAACTTAAATTCGAGCTCGGA